CACCTTGATGCTAATAGGTGAACAACGATTAACATAATTACCTTATCATCCATGAGCCTATTGAAACGTAGCTGAAACTTGGGCTCTTTCTTACGCCAATTGCAAGCAAAAACAAGTCAGACAGAAGAAGACCGGTCTGTCTAATTTAAAGAAAGAGAGACATACCTCACCTTTTACGAACAAATGAACTATTTGCGAATGGTCACCAGAACTTTTATCTGTTCGCAGCTTCAAGATCAGTACACAACAGAGAGAGTAAACAAAGAGTGGATAAACAAGTGTTAGTTTTATCAAGTCTTGGACTTTTCATGTTTATAAACAGATACTAGCTTCTAAACCTTCCTTACCTTTTAATGAATTTTGAACAAATCTCTTTATCTTCTCTAACGAGATAGGACAATCAACAAGTTTTATGTCCTCCTGCAAAGAAAATCATACTAATAGTACCTAGTCATGTATGTAAGCTCGTAATGACACAGAAGACGAATCTGAGACAAAGCACTTAATCAATGTTGAAAGCCAAAATAATATCTACACTAAAGAGACAGACAGATATCCATAACAAGGTCCTGTTTGTGGAGAGCTGAAATACTTCACCTTAACCTTTGTATGTTCTTGACTTCTTGGCTAGTGAATAGTCTCATTTTTACTCTTTGTAGCTTAAGGATCCTTTCTCTTGAATCAAATAAGTCAGTCAGCGAATCAGCAACAAACAGAGGACAAACATAGAACCTTTATCAGTAAGTCAGTAAAGATAGATATATTTACAGATCACATGATGATTTTACAGTTTGCTAACCTGGCCGTTTTGCACAAGTGTTGTTTTATCTCTGAAATAGAGAATACGCAAACAATATTTAGAAAATCAGGTAATGGCTTGCGACTAAATACTAATATACCATCATCTTGTATTCAATTCCACAAGACTATTCAGCAACCAAATACTTTGAACAAGTCTCTTTGTGAATGTTCCTGCAAGTTCTAAAACAAAATAGACACTTTATTTATTGAAAACACAGACAGTCAAATCATTTTGATCTTTTCTGCTGCAATATGTCGATCAGTAGGCTTTATGTACACCTGCAACTTCCAAATAATCATTTAGATAGTAGAGAATGTTACCTTCATATACATGAAAGTCCGCTAGATAGTATTAAGCACAAAAGAGTTTTTATAATATATACTTACTACAAATCAGATTAAAAAAGCAACAAAAAATGTCTGATTGCTGAGAACAGATCCTTCACATAAGAATATAGATGCTTCAAAGTAAAGTGAAACTGTGATCGAGTTCATGGAATGTGAAGTTTTGATCATAGTGTTTTGATTTTTACTGTTTGTGTTAGAGTTTTGTTGTGATTGAGCGTGTGTTTGAGTTGTTTTCGTTTTTTGTTTGAATGTGCGTTTGGAAGTGTGTTTGTGTTGTGTTTTTCGATTTGTGTTTGAATTTTGTTTGAGCGTGTTTTGCGTTTCTTCTCTATGTTAGATGTTTATGGGATAGTGCAGGCTTAACTTTCTGAACAAGTAAAAAATGCATGCGAAAAGAAGCCAAGCCAGACTAGACCGGTCTGTCCAGTTCAAAGAAACAGAGACATACTTCACCTTTAACCTTTACTCTTGGTCAGCCAATGGTCTCCAGAACTTTGATTTGTTTGCAGCTTCAAGATCCTTTCTCTGGAAGGCAGAGAAGGTATCAGAATAAAGTCAGTACACAACAGAGAGTAAAGAAAGAGCGGAATAAAATACAAACAAACGATACAGTTAAAGCAACACTAACAAAGGAAAAGCATTCTCTAATGCAATTTCAGACATAATTTTGATACCTGGTCGGAGATACTACATCGACATCTTAAAATGGAAATTATAACTGAGACTCCTGAATACTTAAAACAATATGTTAACGATGTATTAAAAAGTCACCTTGATGCTAATAGATGAACAACGATTAACATAATTACCTTATCATCCATGAGCTTACTGAAACATATCTGAAACTTGTGCTCTTTCTTACGCCAACCTGCTTTAAACTGAATATATTTTTTCAACCATCGAGTATACACAAAGTCATTTCCAATTAGCATTTCGCTTGAAGACGAAAATAACTTCAATAGAACCTACACCATATACTGAAACTAAACCCAACAAGCAGTAAAATGTCTAATTGATAAGAAACTATTAGAAAACTCGAAGTGAGAAATTTGAGAAACAGAATCACAACGCAAGTTTGACATTTTAAGCGTGTGTTTCTGTGAATTTCTGTTCTGTTTTTGAGACGAAAGAGGGAGAGGGAGAATCATACCTACATTTTTATTGGCTTCTGAATGGTCTGTATAAAACCAAAAGAACCTTTGCTAAAAAGTTCGTTTGCATCTAAAGAAAACTCCTGAAACCAAAAAACTTTATAACATAAAACATATATGTAACTAAACTCACAAGACCATAAACAATATTAGAGAATCTTACAGAGTGTTTGTGGTTCCCTGGCAACATTTGGCTGCCTGTTTCTTATTTGTAATCTTGAAGTATAGACTTCACGTAAAAGTCAAGTAAGAAACCAGAACAAATATGGAAATGTCAGTAAAAGAGGAGCCAAAAGAGACAAGAAATACAGTGACAAAGATTACCTTAACGAAAGAAACCGTTTTAGCTATCTCAATATCACGATATTCTCCTTAACGTTTTGCACAAGTGTTGTTTTAGCTCTGAAATAGAGAATACGCAAACATTATTTAGAAAATCAGGTCATGCATGTCTTGTGATTAAAACAATAATATTCCTGCAAGTTATTATAAGCTATGGCCAAATAATTTGAACAAGTCTCTTTGTGAACGTGGGTGGAGTAATCCTCCTGCAAGTTATCAAATAAATTAGACACTTTATTTATTGAAATTACAGACAGTCAAACATTTAGATAGTAGAGAATGTTACCTTCATATAAATGAAAGTCCGCTAGATAGCAGAGACACATTAAGCACAAGAAAGGTATTACAATATAAACTTACTATCCAAAAATCAACAAAATGTCTGATTCCTGAAAAATGATCATTCACATAAGAAAATGATCAAAGTAAAGTGATATTGTGATCGAGTTCATGAAGATTTGATCCTAGTGTTTTGATTTTTACTGTTTGTGTTAGAATTTTTTGTGATTGAGCGTGTGTTTGAGTTGTTTTTTGTTTTGTGTTTGTGTTGTGTTTGAATTTTGTTTGAGCGTGTCTTGCGTTTTTTCTCTATGTTAGACGTTTATGAGATAGTGCAGGCTAAAATTTCTGAACATGTAAAAAATGCATGCGAAAAGAAGCCAAGCCAGACCAGACCGGTCTGTCCAGTTCAAAGAAAGAGAGACATACAGCTTTAACCCTTACTCTTGCTCAGCGAATGATCTCCGGAACTTTAATTCGTTTGCAGCTTCAAGATCCTTTCTCCTGAAGGCAAAGAACCTTATGAGAGTAAAAGTCAGTACACAACAGAGAGTAATCAAAGAGATGAGATAAAACTTTATTTTCAGAATCAGGAAACAATCTTATGGACACTAAACAGTAACCAATAGCATCTTTTTGACTTCCCACAACACACCATTTAGCAACCAAATATATTTGCCGAAAGTTTTAGTATCATCAAGTCTCATGTTTCTAAGCAAATACTAGCTTCTAGACTCTTACCTTTAATTGAACTTTGAGCAAATCTCTTTTATCTTCTCTAACCAGATAGGACGATCAGCAAATTTTATGTCCTCCTGCGAGTTACAGAAATATTAAACACACCTCTCTTGGAGTATACTAATGTATTTTCAAAACCCATCATGATCAAAACAGCTTAAAAAACCTGAATTTAGCAGAAACGATTTACGAAAACTAAGCCTAGGATGTGAATCAATACCGAATGCCAGAGACCATTACTTACACTAAACATATCTATAAGACCCACACAGAACATTAGAAAACAAACATATACCATACAAAAATACTCCAAATTCAACCCTTAAATACAATACAAACCGATATAATAAGTATCTATAAATCGGAACACATCAGAAAGTTTTTACCAGAAAACCATAACGTAACCAGAGAAAAAATACACAAACTTGATTTCTTGCGTAGTAAAAACGATGGATGTCAAGAGAGATAAAGGCAACGAAAGAACGATTGACAACAATGGACCACAGAACTTATATAGTTACATCGGCTTTGGCTCATGATGATAGATTAAGACTAGTATACACAAATTTCATCACACAGGTTCTAAATCGCCAAAATTTTCTTAATCCAAACAAAACAATTTATCAAATCAAAACACATGTAACCAATTATCTTCGACAAAAACCCTAAAATCGCGAAAACCAGAGAAATTATTGATTTCTTAAAGACTTGCAATTAACAGGATGATCCATGACGAACATCTTCACAGTAGTTCTAATTCGCTACTTTATCTATATCAAAATCAAACGTGAAAGTTGTACGGAATCGGTTTCGTACCTTCTTCATTTTCTGGGTAATCCGAAAGGAATTCGCGATTTCGTTTGAGAAAAACGGCCCCAGATTCTTCCACGCGATCCTGTTTTAAAGCCACCGGAGAAACCGTAGAAATGGTAAGATTAAGGTTGATGACGGACGGTTTTCCGAAATCGGAAGGAATTAAACAACGAAACCCAAATTCACCACCGTGATTCGTCCTCATCGCCGTATTTTCAATCGAAGATTTTTGTAGAGATGATCAATTCGAGAACGATTTGATTTTGACGGGTGAGGCTTTTTGAGTCGGTGAATGCTTCTACTTATAGTTTGTTACGCAGCTTACGTCGAATTTACTAAAATACCCTAGTCTGTACCGTTAGATGGACACCATTGGGGTTGATTTGATTTTGAATTGGAATGCGTGTTTTTTTTTATCCCGTTACAATTGGTTCGATTAATACCGGGTTTACTGTGATTTCGGTTTAGTTTAATACATCACTGATCACTCTTTTATTCACCTTTAAAAGGTTTTTTAAATAAACATCATCACTCTTCCTTGTCTTCTTCCACAAATCCCTTAAGATTCAAATCCGACGGTCCTCCTTCCGCCGCAGCATCAATGGCCATCGTCTTCCACCTCGCCGCATTCTCTCTCATCTCCTCCGCATCCTCTCCGTCTCCCATCACCTTCTCCAGACACCGTCTCACCTCATCTCCATCCACGTGTCCTTCCTCCCCTTCCTTCGCCCTCACTCCGATCCGCCACGTGTCCTCCACAAGCTTCGCCGTCGTGCACTGGTCCGCGAACTGCGGAAACGCCACCACCGGAACTCCGCTCTCTAAACTCTCCAGCGTCGAATTCCAACCGCAGTGAGTCACAAAACACCCCACCGACGGATGCGACAGCACCGCCGTCTGAGAACACCACCCAACCACCAATCCTCGATCACTTCCTCTGATCAATTCCAGAAATCGGTTCTTCACGTCTGGGTTTTTCGCCCTCACGACCCATAAGAACGGCCGGCCTGTGGCTAACACGCCGCTAGTGAGCGCCTCCATGTGTTTCTCCGGCAAATCGTCGGCGTGTGTGCCCAAGGATATGTAAATCACAGACTTCTCGAGTTTCGAATCTAGCCATTTCGTGTGATCCTCCCCGTCCGAAGAAGATCGGAATAGATTGGCTTTACCGGCTGAAGAATCGTCGGAGGAGGAAACCAACGGTCCGATCGGAATCATTCTGAGTTTCTCGACGGAGGTTAACGCATCGGATTCCAATTCAGAGAAAGTGTTCACCAGGATTGTAGGGTTCGATTCCGATTCGAGAGATTCGATGTGTTCTCTCAGCGTTACAAGAGCCGACGGTAATATCACAAGTACCACCTCGTCCCGGACCGTCGCAAGGAAAACTATACCCGAAATCCTTTTTATCTGGCATCAACTTGGAACCACGTGCATCTAAAGCACCTTTTACTAAGATCAATGTAGTTGTATGTAAACCTAAAGCAATAGCATGATGAACCAAGAAATCTCCAGGACCTATTGTTAAGAATAATGAATTACTATTTTCATTAATAGCATTTAACCAGCCAGGCAACCATATGCTTCGACCCGCATTAAACGCTGGGCCATTTGTCGAAGATAAAAGTACATCAAATCCATATGAAGTTTTCCCATGAGCCGATTGGATCCATTGGGCAAATATGGGTTCGATCAAGATTTGTTTTTCGGGAGTACCAAAAGCAAGCATGACGTCATTATGAACATAAAGTCCCAAAGTATGGAACCCTAGAAAGAGGCTGGCCCAACTTAAATGGGATATGATAGCTTCTTTATGGTCTAACATTCTTGCCAATACGTTATCCTCATTCTGCTCTGGATTGTAATCTCTAATAAAAAATATAGCTCCATGAGCAAAAGCTCCTGTCATGATGAATCCTGCAATGTATTGGTGATGGGTATATAACGCAGCTTGAGTCGTAAAATCTTGCGCTATGAACGCATAAGCAGGTAAAGAGTACATGTGTTGAGCTACCAAGGAAGTAATAACCCCTAAGGAGGCTAGAGCAAGGCCTAATTGAAAATGAATCGAATTATTGATTGTGTCATAAAGACCCTTATGCCCACGCCCCAATCGTCCTCCCGGAGGAATATGTGCTTCTAAAAGATCTTTTATACTGTGTCCAATTCCAAAGTTAGTTCTATACATATGACCCGCAATGAGAAAAAGAATTGCGATAGCTAAATGATGATGTGCCATATCGGTTAGCCATAAACTTTGCGTTTGTGGATGGAATCCCCCAAGAAGGGTTAGAATGGCAGTTCCTGATCCTTGGGAGGTACCAAATAAATGACTACTTGAATCGGGGTTTTGAGCATAAAGATTCCACTGACCCGTAAAAAGTGGGCCTAACCCTTGGGGATGCGGTAATACATTTAAGAAATTATTCCATCGAACATATTCCCCCCTGGATGCAGGAATAGCGACATGGACTAAATGACCTGTCCAAGCCAAGGAGCTTACCCCGAATAGTCCTGACAAATGATGATTCAGACGAGATTCGGCATTTTTGAACCACGAAACTCTTGGTTTCCATTTTGGTTGTAGGTGTAACCAACCCCCTATTAAGGATAGGGCAGAAAGAAATAATAGAAAAAGAGCTCCAGTATAAAGATCTTCATTAGTACGTAAACCGATTGTATACCACCACTGATAAACACCAGAATAAGCTATATTCACCGGGCCAAGAGCACCTCCTCGAGTAAACGCTTCCACAGCCGGTTGACCGAAATGAGGATCCCAAATAGCATGAGCAATCGGTCTTACATGTAAAGGGTCTTGTATCCATGTCTCAAAATTACCTTGCCAAGCTACATGAAACAAATTTCCGGAAGTCCACAGAAAAATTATTGCTAATTGCCCGAAATGAGAAGCAAAAATATTCTGATAAAGACGTTCTTCAGTAATATCATCATGACTCTCGAAGTCATGTGCGGTAGCAATACCAAACCAAATACGACGAGTAGTGGGGTCCTGAGCTAAGCCTTGGCTAAACCTTGGAAATCTTAATGCCATAATGCCTTTCAAATCCTCCTAGCCATTATCCTACTGCAATAATTCTTGCTAAGAAGAACGCCCATGTTGTGGCAATTCCACCCAGAAGGTAATGGGTTACTCCTACAGCACGTCCTTGTACAATGCTCAAGGCTCTAGGCTGAGTAGCAGGAGCAACTTTTAATTTATTATGAGCCCAAACAATGGATTCAATAAGTTCTTGCCAATAACCACGCCCACTGAATAGAAAACATTAAACTGAAAGCCCATACAAAATGAGCACCTAGGAAAAAAAGACCATATGCAGATAACGAAGAACCATAAGACTGAATTACCTGAGATGCTTGTGCCCATAAGAAATCGCGGAGCCACCCATTAATAGTAATGGAACTCTGTGCAAAGTTTCCTCCAGTAATATGAGTTACCACCCCTTGATCACTTATACTACCCCAAACATCTGACTGCATTTTCCAACTGAAATGGAATATTACTACCGAAATAGCATTGTACATCCAAAATAGTCCTAAGAAGACATGATCCCAAGCAGATACTTGACATGTTCCTCCTCTTCCAGGGCCATCACAAGGGAAACGAAAACCAAGATTTGCTTTATCTGGTATTAAACGCGAACTACGAGCAAATAAAACACCTTTCAACAGTATCAATACCGTCACATGAATTGTAAATGCATGAATATGATGTACCAAAAAATCCGCCGTTCCTAATGGAATAGGTATTCCAATTCTCCCTTAGAAAACATCAAATTGAACCACGATTTTTCCATAGAGCTTTTGGCCTGCAGTAAGCAACCCTACCTGTACCTTAGCAGGCTTCGCTCCTCTGGTTGTGAGAAAAGGTCTTGCATTGCCCTTCTCAATCCGACAGAGAGCTCATCCCTGTCTCACTCACCTGGAACCCATCCTAGGTAAGCAAGACTTTCTTTCCTTTCATTTGCTTTTCTTCCAAGTGGTTTCGTTTAGTCCTGATCATCAGAGTTTTCGCCCGCTATTAAGCCCCACTGCTCGCTCGAAACATATTGAAATTAACTACCATTACCATTTTGTACGGGAAAAGGTTGTCAAAGGTGACATTATTGTAATACTTTAATAATGCGATGTTTTGTATGTTTACAAGTGGTTTTGGATTCTGAATATGTGACTTTCTATCTATCCACTTGACCCAAATCTAGTGAATATGTCAAAATTGGCAAAATAAATATAATAAACTATATGCGAAAATGGTTCATAAATTTTATTTATCAGCATAAACATAATCAGAATTCTTAATTTTTGTTGCCTCTTTATTAAAATAGCTCTTTCTGTTCATTTTTTTTAAAAAATAGTTCTAAAGATTTGAGTTTGAGATTTTTTAGGAATGTGCTGTTTTCTATGTTTATAAATGGTTTGTACTCTGAACATATGCTTGCACACTTTCTACCCAAAATTTAGTGAACATGTTGAATTAGAAAAATAAACAAAATAAACTTTATACGTTAAAAGGTTAATAATTTTCCGTTTATCAATATAATCAACTCCCCAAAATAATCGTATGGATAACATCTTTTTACATGTCTCTTGTCATCTCTTTTATCTTCCTTAAAATATCATATTGTCGTCTCTCTTACTTTTCTATCAAAAAAATGTGGGAAAACAGCCAAAACATACCCAAACTTCACTCATATGTTCGATTCATACCTCAACTTTACCACCGTCGAAATCCATACCCAAACTTACTTAAAATTTAAATTTCATACACAAACTTTCATATTTTTTGAATTTCATACATTTTCCGTGACGTGGACTCTTCTCCGTTAAAAATAAATTATGTGGCTAAATTCTCCGTTAATAACCCGTTAAATGTTGTCGTCGTGGATTAGGCGAAAACGTTTAAGATTAACGAAGGAGCTAAAACGACGTCGTTTTGTCGCTGCTAAATGAAACGATGTCGTTTTGTTCATCTTCTCCAACCCATCTAAAGTGCTGAAATTACACAATCGAGGGTTTTAGGCAGCAAAAATCGAGTAATCGAGAACTCTGAGATGTCTTCTTCAGCTAGTTCAGGTGAGTAATTCAAGATTTGTCTATTAGAGTAAGTTTGGGTAGATCTTTCCAATTGATTTTTGTGTTTTTATGGTGAAGGGGTGAGCAGCTTCAGATGCGACTCGAACAGAGCTTTGTTTGTCAATTCTTCGATTCCTCTGTTGTGAGATCAAAGGATTTAGAACAGAGATTTTGGGGAGTATTTTGTCTCTTCGTTGTCTGAGTTTTTCAAGAAGAACAGACGTCTGAAGATGTAAACAGAAAACGATGTCGTTTTCATCACCTCTCTCTAATTTCGACGATTTACAAAACGGCGTCGTATCTTGCGTGGCATCCACGTCATCACGATTTAACAGACTAGTTAAACAGTGACGGAAAATGTATGAAATTCAAAAAATATGAAAGTTTGTGTATGAAATTTAAATTTGAAGTAAGTTTGGGTATAGATTTCGACGGTGGTAAAGTTGAGGTATGAATCGAACATACGAGTGAAGTTTGGGTATGTTTTGGCCGTTTTCCAAAAAAAATGTACGTCTCTTATCAATTTCAAAAGGCTATCTTTTGTAGGTGTTTGTCAGCTCACTATTACAAGATTAAACACTTTTTTCCGAAAAAAAGAAACAGCAAAGATAATACACTTATACACTTTAAAATATCAATGTGAAACTTTGATTGTACAAGATCAAATGTCTAATCACCTGTACAAAATCAAACACTTTGAAATCACAATGGGAAATTTTGATTGGTTAAAATTGTCTACACTTTTCGTGTGGAAGTGGTGGTCTAATTCTATTAACATTTTTCTAATTTTTTAAAAAGAGAGAATATTCTTATACTTTAAATATTGAGAAATTTTTATATACTCTTTGATGAGTTTTTAATTTGAAAAACCACTTATTTTTTTTTGGTTTTGGAAAATACACTTTTTATATGTGAAATGACTTAATTATCCTAATTTGAAGTTTTCAACTAATTTAATAAAAACGAAATTCAAATAAGAAATATAAATATTAAGATTTGATAATAATTTTCTTTCATTTTAAAATACTAAACCATCCTAATTATCTGTTTAGATTTTTTGAAATTCAATAAAAATATAAGGTTGTTTATATAAAGTTTAAATGGGGTGAGATTAAGTTTTTATATAAAGTTTCAAAAATATTTAAATTTGTTCAAGATAAACATTAAAAATGAAAGATATATTTCTCCACTTTTAAATTTTTAATAATTTATAAAAAGTTTAAATTTATATAAAGTTTCATTTGTTGGAATGTGTGAGATTAAGTTGTTTATATAAAGGTCCAAAAATATTAAAATTTGTTTCAATTTAACATATACTGTATTTATCTGAAAAAAAAACTTATTAATTTTTATTATTTTTAATTTCGTTTTTAATTTGTAATTAATATTAATGCTTTGTTTAAATCAGGTCAAAACAGACTTTTTTATATTCAAAAAGTGTATTTTTCAAAACAGAAAAAAAAAACTAAATGTATTTTTCAAAAAGTCCCTTAAATATTTCTACACTTTAAACACAAATATCTAACGACTCTAAATATGCCAATTAGCCCAAATAGGTAATCGCTTATCCAACTAATCTCTTAAACTTGTACCTATCGTCGTCAGTGAAACAGTTTAATTTTAAATCACACAACCGAAACTCGAAAGCAGAAATGCATTGTCGAATTTACACATCATTCATAAAAACCGAACCTTGCAAAAAGGAATGTACAAGCATTACTTCATTTTCATAANAAAAGAATTGCGATAGCTAAATGATGATGTGCTATATCGGTTAACCATAGACCCCCGGTCACTGGATCTAATCCGCCACGAAAAGTAAGAAATTCCGAGTATTTTGACCAATCCAAGGTAAAAAAGGGGGTTGCTCCTTCAGCAAAACTTGGATAAAGTTGAGCCAAAAGATCCCGATTCAAGATAAATTCATGAGGAAGTGGTATTTCTTTAGGATCTACTCCAGCATTTAGAAATTGGTTAATCGGTAAAGATACATGTACTTGATGTCCTGCCCAAGAAAGAGACCCAAGTCCTAGTAGCCCTGCTAAATGGTGATTCAACATAGATTCTACATCTTGGAACCAAGCCAATTTTGGAGCTGCTTTGTGATAATGGAACCAACCAGCAAAAAGCATTAAAGCTGCGAAGACCAATGCGCCAATTGCGGTACAATAAAGTTGTAATTCACTAGTTATTCCAGATGCTCGCCAAATCTGAAAAAAGCCAGAGGTTATTTGGATTCCTCGGAAGCCCCCGCCCACATCTCCATTCAGGATTTCTTGGCCCACTATTGGCCAAACCACCTGAGCACTAGGTCCAATGTGAGTAGGATCACTCAGCCATGCTTCATAATTGGAAAAACGAGCACCGTGGAAATACATGCCACTCAGCCAAAGAAAGATGATAGAGAGTTGGCCGAAATGAGCACTAAATACTTTTCGAGAGATTTCCTCCAAATCACTGGTATGACTATCAAAATCGTGAGCATCAGCATGTAGGTTCCAGATCCAAGTGGTAGTATCAGGTCCCTTAGCTATTGTTCTTGAGAAATGACCGGGTTTAGCCCATTCCTCGAAAGAAGTTTTTACGGGATCCCTATCTACCAAAATTTTGACTTCCGGTTCCGGCGAACGAATAATCATTGAGTCCTCCTCTTTCCGGACAACACATACAAAGAAACCCGCCAACAGCCACTCAAGTAATTAGTGAACCGATGAGAGATGCTTAGACTTTTTTTCTCTTCTATCTCCCATCTATTCATCTATTTTCTTTAGTTATTCACTAGAGCAATTATGATCTGGAAGTCGATCTGGGGCAAGTGTTCGGATCTATTATGACATATCCATAGGGTGCTCAACGGACCCTTTTTTAATTAAAAAAAGTTTTCGCGCCTTTACATTGGTATACAAAGAGTTTTTTTTATAACCTAATCTAGTGTATTCAGATTTCAATTATAAGTTCCGAACTTTAGCCTATTTTTTATGTTTTAAATAGAGGATATTGTTCTATTTCAATAAACGCTTAATTAGTCATTACTAAGAAACATTCTAGTATTGATATTTAATTATTTTCAAATCTCGTTTATTGGTTTTAATATTTAATAGTAGAAAAGAAAAAATGGAAAAAACGAGATATTCTCATATTCATGTACTACTTACCCCTAGAGAATACCAGATGAAATAGAACGATTTGAGAAAAGGATATAATGAAATTTTTTTTCTTTTATTGGTTCTTTTGATAGAAAAAACAGGATCTGTTTTATTTGCCCGAGAGGGCCAAGAAACTAAAAAACGATTAATTGTAAAAACAAATAAAGATATATATAGAATAAAAAAAAAGAAACAAAGGAAAAGTTCTTATTCGAAGCGCCTCGTGATCGTCAACCAATTCTGTGCTTCAATATAATTACCAGGAGTAAGCGTTATAGCCTGTTTCCAATACTCGGCGGCTTGAGCGAACCAAGCCTCCGCCATTTCAGAATCTCCTTGTTGAATGGCCTGTTCTCCACGGTCGGAATAGGCGTGTCAATTCCCTCCCTGAGAACCGTACTTGAGAGTTTCCTACCTCATACGGCTCGACAACCAACTCTTTTGTTTTAGTGTACCAGTTTTTTAACCTACTTTCACTTTATCTCTAATTGAATGTTGAATGAGAGTTCTTTCGGTTTTTCTTGGATTAAACAAAAGAGAGTAATTACACGAGTTTCAAACTTTCATTTTGATTTAATTAATAGATTTTTAATTAATATATTAATTAATATAATAAGTTTTATCTTTTCTCCTACCTTCAGAAAAAAAAGCATGTCCACTGTTATTAGATATTAGAATTTTCTGAAAGGTAACTATCCCGCTTTCATATAAAAATTTATATAGAATCTTTGAAAAAGACTTTTTTCATACTTCATAAAAAAGAAAAAGACTTACTGTCTTTAGGATCTGATGCTACACCGCTGCTCAATACCTTAGGGGATCCACTCTATTACATAAGTAGATTCCTAAGATTTATCTCAACCTTACACCGTCCTTTTCCGCTTTTCGGTATGCAGAATGGATCTCGCAAACCCATCTGAACATGACCACTGTGAACTCCTCCAAGGGTTAGGTTAAATTTTGGAGTTCTTCTTTTATCAAAGAATGGGTTTGAGCCATCGGATTTTCCATAAGGTTTGTTTGAAGTAACAACGGTTATGTTCATATACTCCATCTCCGCAAAATCGTTCTCACCATTTTTGTTGTTATTTTTGCCAGAGTTTCTCATGATGGAGACTGCAACACCAGCCGTAAAAGAATCCCACATGAAATAGCTCTGGAGAATGATAATAACTGATAGGTCAGCTCAATATTGAGATTATGAGATAACGGAATAATAAAGAAGCGAAAACATTTACAAAAAAAATTGACCTAGTTTTTGTAAATTTAAATCTAGGTAAAATTAAAATGTGCGCCATATACAGTAGAGCAGAACAACTTGTGAAAAAAGCTAAATTGGTAAAATTTGGCGGTAACACGTTTTCAAAATTTTGAATAACCTGTATACTTGTATAGCACTCATCAATTTTATTTTTAGGAAAAACAAAAAACGTTTCAACACATATTAGTTTTGGAAATGGATTATCATATAGATACCTGGTAGAATTCATCGTCGAACCAAGTGTCTCTGGCAATTTTCAAAGATAAGAAAGTGTATTGAGCTTCGTATGTTCTCTGGTTGTTTTCGAATGTTTCAAAGAATTTCTTGTTGATAGGTATTGTGTTGGTTGCATCTAGAGGAACCAAAGTCACTGGGACACCTGAATGAAACACCTGTACGATATTTGTTCTTTAATGTTATAATTATCTCAATAATTATCTAAACACCTGTAAGAAACCCTAGCAAAGCAATGTGAGAAAGTTATAAAAAAGACAATAATGAACCTGATAAGCAGCGAAAGGATCAGCGAACATGTTGAATTCAGAGTAAGGATTACTTGTATAATCTGTGAACAAGTTTCCACGGTTTCCACACTGTCTAGGTTGACATTCCGCAGCCGTGGAGTTCGCCGGACAGCAGCCGGTGGGGTTTCGCGACCGTACTCCTCCTCCCATGACGTAGATGTGGTTGATGTTATGTTTCAGGTGAGGATTTGACATCATGAAGAGAGCGAAATTCGTGTGGGATCCGATGAGGATTACGGTGACTGGACCTTCGGAAACTTTGTCGGTGATTACTTTTTGTGCCGTTGGTTGTCGAAGGGGAGTGTAACTTCTGTTCCCCTGTATGCCCCACAAAAACATAAACCAACCACTTATAAAATTTCTTCAAATTAGAAAGTCTTATAATTTCAGTACTTAACAAACTGTGAACTTCTAAAAACGATCACTTTGACAATAAACTTTACCAGCATTTTCTTGTCTTTCATTAAAAAAGGATAATTTTAAATTGTTCCATTTACACGTCAGTCCTTCCTATGCTATGATCAATATGTCATAATGTCACGATTGATCCTAAACCTGCAATTATATATATCACTACTAGCTAGGCTTGAATCTTTTAGTAGCCGACAAGTTTTTGGATGTATACAAGTCAGATACTTCTATTGCAACCACGAGTACCATGACTCTAGCGACACGTGTTGCAGACGAGAGATACCAACACAAAGTGTCAGTGTGTCACAAATTAAGTTTGACAATTTATAAGATTCTAAATGGTGGTTGCGATTAAAGTAGCTTAGTTGGTGCGTTGCGATAGGATTTTAATGATGCTTTTGTAGTTTCTTATAACCAACGCTATTAATATTGTTAGTTTAGTTAATAAGATCAGTGTTTTTATTTTGGGTTAAAGAACAAGGTCAGTGTAGCAAATAATGGTTGTGGTCAACACGTTACTGTTTTACAGTTAAAAATAAATAAATAATATTTTCAGTTAATTTATGTGAAAATTGTCATATAAGTGTAAATTAATTATGAATTTTTATTTTAAAATATGAATTTTCTTTCAAATACTTTTGGAAGTGTAAAAAAATAAAAGAAATTTCCACTTTTTTTTTCGACTACATGTATACGATTTCTGAAAACTTTTTTTTGGTATGAATGTTAAGATTTCTGAAAACTTATCAACTTATAGCAACAAAATAAAAGAAAATAAAATACCTGAGGAAGAAACTGTTTACGAAAGCCATAATTGGAGTCGATGTCAAGTAGGCCTCCAGACCCTTTAGGAATGGCTTGTCTGTATCTACACTCTCCTGTTGTTGTCATCCCCTAGACAAAATATTTTTACTTACAGTTTAACCTAAACTCATACAAATATTCGAGAGAAAAAAACTAAGAAGAAGAAGAGGAAGAAAAAGAGAACCTGTTCGATGATCGGAAGATAACCACCGACGTCAGAGAGGATAGTACCGTCGGCGAGAACCCCACCTTCGCCGCCGACACCAACTGGGATATCATCACGACCCATCATGTGCAATAAATCGTACAAATGATTCACTCCGTGTCCTGCGTTTGTCCACGCATTTGCACTCAACGTAATCCCCTGTTTTGAATAAACAGAGATTGGTTAGCTGAAATGAAAGAAAACTGAAAAACAGAGAAAAAAGGAATGGGCTTACGACTAGATCGAATTCTGATCTGTTGAGTTTCAAGAGGTAGAGTAGAGCGAATAAATCGTCTGTGTCGACATCTGTATCCACCAGAATACGGTGTGGGCTAGACAAAACGCAGGGGAGGTTTTGTCCTAAGAGTCCAAGAATAGTGACGACTGTGGTGGACAAGAACCATAAACTCCTCAAAGTTGGGCTCATCATCAACATCTTTTAAAAGAAGAAGAAAAAGCACAAAGATGGATACAGGGAAAGAGAGGAAGAGGAGGAAGAAGATAAAAGAAAGATTGGGTATTCTGTTTCTTTTCTAAATCTAAAATAAACGGGAGAGACTCGAAAAGGATCAAATCAAGAAACCATTACTTGAACTAAAATCAATGAGAACAAAAGAGAAAAAAAGGTAAGAAGATTTTCAGAAAAATGGTTCCTTTGTGTCTGGATATTGTAACGAGCCAGCTCAAAGGAGACTGGCCTTTATTCTCTATGCACACACACACAAAAAAAAAAAAACAAAAGAGAAAGGCAAAAGATGAGAGTTCTATGGTGTCATCAGAATTTTGTTTTTTAAAACGTCTTCTTCTTTAGAGTTTTGTTTCTTATGAGGAGAGTAAAAAGCTTTGGCTTACATTAATACTTCTGTGATAAACTTGCCTGAAAACAAAAAGGGGAAGGAGAAAAAGATATACTGACTACGTGCAGATGCAGGGAGGGAGGGAGAGAGAGAGAGAGAGGCAGAAAGAAAAATGAGAGATGTAGTTGGCGAGGGCCGAGGAGGAGGGACAATAATCGATAGTAATAAAAAGTTGTTTACATATAAAACTTGAAAATACGGAAACTTATTGGTTAGTATTAGTCAACTCTCTTAGAATGTGTCTTGAACGTTCCCCTTAAAGTATTTAAAATTGATTTGTTCTCTTATTTTAATAATACCGGTTATGGCTTGGTTGCTGAGCAAAAGAAAAACAAACAATATGGACGAAGAGAGAAAAACATGGCTAGATTTCAAAAATAAGTTTCTTCTATATATATGGTCTAAATTAATACATTCGCCCGCATTCTTTCCTCAAAGTCGTTGGTCAAAATTTTGTCATTTCTACATCTATGCACAAAAAACTCATTTTCTCCTTTCTTTCAAAAGACGTCATTAGTGACATCTAACGGTTGAAAATAATAATACACGAACTCCTTTATAAAAACTCAAATATACTAGAGAATGAAGCATGTGAGGGCAATATTAACTCTTAATATTTAAATATTTCTTTTAAATATAAATTTAAAGGGTGATTTGTTTTAGTATTAGAATCTCGTATAGTTAAGAGAACATTTAGTGTGCGAGGAAGCACACATTAAATAGTCATATACTATGGGCATTATAGCTACTTCCTGTCGAACCTTCAAACATGCATGCCTCTATAACTCACATGTCAGTCTAGTTATTGATCACATGATTCACATCATCAAATCTCACTAACCAACCGCTCATTGTTTAGTGACGATATCCGATATGAGACTCGACAACCGTTATCTTTAATTGAAAGGTATAACCTTATCAATACTTTGTCATGTCAATTAGAAAGGGATTCGAAATCCCAATTAGACTAAGACACGTATGAACACAAGATCATTCTCTATACATCTGCTTGGAATAGAAAATTATCTAAGTCTCTTTTAATTTGAGCATTATATTAATTAGAGTGTTTTTGAAAGACATTACATCTATTTTTTAGTCGTTATCCTAATCATATATATTTTCATCTCACGTAAGTTACTTATAGGTCGATTTATCCAAACAATCTTCCAAAGATCCATACTTAAAAAAAAAAAAAAAAGATATACATTAATAGTTTAGAAGAAGTGAAACATTAAAATAGTCACTGACAAACATGACAAATAATTTTCTTCGATTGTGTGGACCGTATATATGTGTGGCAGCGTGGGTTAAAAAATATATGTATAGATTTGTGGGTTACAATTTCTCCCCCCAAAAAAAACATTTCTTTTCTAAGATGTGAATGGATATTGTTACAACGAGATCGGCAAATCATCAACTATATTTGAAATGTTAATTTCCAACTGGTGGGTGCATTCCTTAACTTTAAAATATTCTCTCTTAAGTCAAACAAAAAGATGCGGATCCGCTATCAAAGATGGTTTGAGGAAAAATAAAAGGTAAAAAAAGTTACAACTTGTGATTAAAGATTATAAAGTTTTTTTTTAATTAGAATCTACTAACGATAGAAAACAAAATTAGATAAGTTCTTAATTACAAGGAAAATGGTTGTGTGTATAAGTGTTTATCAGTATATATACTGTATATGTTAGTGTTTTTAATTAGTTGATTGCTCCGTTGTAAACAAAGAAGAAGATTGCTCCGACATATTTTTGGTTTGACTAGTCTCCACCACTGTCGACACTCGACATCAAATCAAATCTAAGATTGGAGAAAAGTGTTGACTTCAATAGTCACGTGAAAATATGACGTATCTCGATTCTTATTAATTGTAGTATTTTGGAGAGTACGTACATAGCTGCCAAAGCAAATTGTAGTTATTATTTTCTCGATTCTGTATATCGTCCCAATTTTATTGGATGTTTAATTTCGAAGGGACCATTACCTCTTTTTTTTTGTTCTTTTGTATTCCTTCTGTTTTAACACATTTCATGCAGATTAATGGAAAATTTGAAACATTATTTTTAGAATACTTAATCTCTTTGTTTGGAATGGGTTACATATGTGGCTTGCAAACCTATGATTCTCATTTCTCATTCCCTAGTAATAATCGTGTAAAATATGAATTAAGCGTGAAAAAAAATCACATTAGAAACATAGAACCACATTCTTTTGTAAAATGGAAGAAATATGTTTTATCTTAATTTATATAATGAATTAGGTATATTTCGTACTTTCTGTTATGTATTTATTTATTTATTTTGTTCACTTTGATTATTTTTTTATCCAGAAAAACTAGCCAACCCAGTTTTCATATTCATATTAATAAATTGGACTATCATGCACTTGGACTATCAGCCGTTTTCAAAACTCCATTGGTGAAGGGACCATTCCATATTAATAAATTGGACAACAATGAAATGATGGTCTTAAAAATATCAGGCGTGTCGAACACTAGCTTAATGAATATGGACCATTTCCAGAATCTACATATTGGAACTTTGATTATTTTATTACCTTGATCGTTATAAATATGTTTTCTCTATACAATCTCATTTGATCTATTTAAGGGGGAAAAGAGTTGTATAAATTACTCTTCTTATGTATATCGAATACTTTAATTTTAGATAGCCCACCTCAACAATAGCTAAAATGTTGTACTTTTCTAGGTCGAAAGGAGGAGGTCCCCACATTATCTCTTCCAGAGGAGAGTTTGTTTAAAAGGTATACATAAAAATGCCGAGTTGGGCATAACTATGCATGCTTCGCATCACTACAAACTAGATGTGGTACTGAAATGAAAAAGGTTCAAATTAGCTTTAACATTTAATTTAATCTGTTATACTTATACCTGTTATGATTTACGAATCCTCTCATTCTTTAGAAATTCTAAAATTTGCATGGGTAATTAAGTAAACGATTTATTTAACCTAGATGTACATATATGCTCTCGAATACAAAGATTGACAAGTTTTGAGTTTAAATATTCGTAGCCAACACATAAGTGCATAAATGTGTATATATATATATATATATAATATTAGATAACTAATTTCGCATAGTATAATCTATATGTAATGTTTATTGTCATTTTTTTTCTTATTATAATTGCCACAAATTTTAGTATAAATTAAAATAACCTTTTAGAATGGTATCTTAACTAGAACCAGTTTTAGGACGAAAGGCGAAAGCTTTGTAAAGAACAAATTATCGTAAAATTTGGAACACAATCTCTTTTTTAAGGTATTTATATATATATATGATTATAATTATTAAATCAAAACAACGAAGAAACGAAAGACGTAAATTATATGATAAACAAAAGGTAAACGTGCTTTGTTATATTGGAGTTTGATGATTCAGTTTGGTGACTTTGGTCAAAATCCACTTGAGTTTTGGTCCATAGTGATAGAAAGTGTTTAACATAAAGCAAAAGATACTTCTTGACCTTACTTTATTAATGGAAAGAATCACTCATAATAATTACTTGATTTGTTAAGTCCTTAAGCTTATGCCTTCTGGCACTAAACAAATCAAAACATAGAGCATGGCTTATTGGTGGCGTTCTCATTGTGGTGGTGAGTTCCATTTCTTCTTTTGTTCTTCAAAGCTTCCTATGACTGCAGATTGTTTTTTATCATCGAGTCTAGAAGCAAAACTCTCGTAACAGCCTCTTAAATCTACTCCTTCGAGTGTCTTTATCTCTTTTCCGAGCTGTTTGTCGACTAATATCTGACCATCTTTTGATTCATCCTCTTTAGCGACCACTCTAATGTGCTCAGGTCGCAGTTTCGGCTTCAACGAAGCGTGATCACCTCCCACTAAAATTGCTCCTAGAATTTCCCCTAAGAACATGTCCTGCAATAACAATTTAGAGTTAGTTTGAAAACACACTATTATAACTTAAAAAAAACAAACATAATCACAATAGAGGAGGCTAGCTTTACCATGTGTGTGTATCTCCTGTGATTATGATGGAGAGCATGCAGTCTAGCAATCAGCCGTTTCACAAACCGAGCTTCGGGTGTTTTCTCCGAGAAATAGTTAAGCATTTCTTGAAAAGAAGTCAACTTGCGTTGGGTTGCTAGAGGGACGAGTGTGATGTTTAAACCGGATTCAAGAACGGTCTTAGCTGCTGAAGGATCAAGAAACATATTGAATTCGGCGTCTACATTCAATGGAACCGTGAAGATGTTCCCTTTTTCTGATTTCTCACGGTCTATATGTCCTCCCACGATGTAAACTTCCTGCATTTTACATTACAAGCATTAATATTAAATCTCGGATCTTAATGAATATTTATGAGTGACAGAGTAATTAAGAGACAGTTCTTGCCTTGATTAGTGAGGATGATCTTTTATCTGATGAGATGATCTTAGCTAAGCTAGTCAACGGTCCATTGGTTAGTACAGTGATCTTAGACACTCCATTACCAGATTTGGTCAGATTTTGCCAAACTTCAAGTGCCAGAGGTTGTCGGAGTTCAGGCCGATCAGTATCCCTTGGAGCTCCATGGGCCACTGAGTTCTCTGCTGTGTAT